GCATTAAATGTGTATATTAGAAAAGCAAAAAAAAGTCCAAGATCAGCAATCTAAGCTGTAGTCTCCCTGAAAAAGCTACAGAAGGAAAAGCAAATAAACTGAAGGAAGGAAATTATAATGATCATACCTGAAATCAATGAAACAAGAAACGGAAAAATAATAGAGAAATCACTGAAAACTGAAAGCTGGTTCTTTGCATAAAACTGATAAACCTAGAGCCAGAATGATCAAAAAAAAAAAAAAAAAGAAAAGAAAAAGAAGATGTTGCCAACATCAGGGATGAAAGAGGGAACATCACTAGAGATTCTACAGAACTCACATTGTATAGCAAGAGGATATTATGGATGATTTTATGTCAATAATGTCAGATGAACTTTAGATGAAATGGACAAGTTCCTTTAAAGACACAAAAACTACTCAAGATGTAATAGGTAACTGGAATAGTCCTATGTCCACTATGGAAATTTAATTTGTAGCTAATAACCTTCTAATAAAGCAAAATCTAGGCCTAATGGCTTCACTAGGGAATTCTATCAAACATTTAAGGAAGAAATGGTAACAACTCTACACAAACTTCTTAAGAAAATAGGAGAGGAGGGAACATTTTCAAACTCATTTTATAAAGGCCCCAGTCCAACACTAAGAAAAGGCAGAGATAAGAAGAACAGAAAACTATAAAGGAAGGACTACAGAAGAACACGTCAATAGCTGTCACGAACATAAATGTAAAAAATCTGTACTAAAGTTCTAGAAAGTTGAATCCAGTAATACATAAGAAGAATGATTCATTGTAAACAAGTGTGGAATGCAAGGTTGTTTTAACATTCAACTATCCATCAATGTGATGATTAACATTGTGTAATGCATTAATAGACCAAAAAAGGTAAACCACATGATCACCTCAGTATATGTAGAAAAAGAATTTGATAAAATTCAACACCCATTCATGATAACACTCTCAGAAAACTACAAGAGAAGTGAATTTCCTCAACAAGATAAAGAATATCTATGAAAAGCCTAGAGTTAACATTACGCTGAATGGTGAAAGAACGAATACTTCCTGCATAACTCAGGAGACAAGGAAAGAACGTTTGCTACCATCACTTCCAATTAACATTGCCCTATAGGTCCTAGCCAGCGTGATAAAGAAGGAAAAAAAAAGAAGTCACAGATTGGAAAGGAAGAGGTAAAACTACATTTGCAGACACATCTATGTAGAAAATCTTCAGAAATTAACAAAAGGTTATCAGGAGTAATAAGCAAATTTAGCCAGGTTACAGGTTACACGGTCAACATACTGAAAAATCAACCACAACTCTACATGGCAGCAAAAACAATAGAAATTGAAATTCAATATAATTTACAATAGCATAAAAACAAAATATGTATAAATGTAACAACATATGGTTAAGGCTTATACATTTAAAACTATAGCTTGAGAAAAGTTAAAGAAGATCTAAATAAATGGACAGGTATGGCATTTTCAGGAACTGAACACTCAGTATTGCTAAGATGTCAAGTCTCCCCAAATTGGACTACAGATTCAATGCAACCTAATATATTTCCTTGCTCATTTTTTTTCCTAACAGGAGTAACTGACAAGGTGACTAATACTTGTAAAAAATGCAGAGGACCCAGAATAGCCAAGACAATTTTAAAAGAGGAAAACAAAACTAGAGGGCTACAGTACCGGACTTTAAGACTTACTATAAAGTTAGGACAGTATAGAAGCGGCACAAAGTAATCTACTAGATAAAGGATGTTCTTCAACAAAAGAAGCTAGAACAACTGAATACTCATGTTAAAAAAAAAAGAATCCTGGCTTTTATTTCATAATACAAAAAATATATTGAAATGAATCATAGACCTAAATGTGAGAACTGAAACTATAAAACTTTTAGAAGAAAATATAGAAAAAACCTTCACGGTCTTGGGTTAAAAAGCAAAGATTTCTTAGGATAGGACCCAAAAGACATGAACTGTAGGAAAAAATAATAATAAGTTGGGCTTCCTAAGAATTGAACCCTTTCGCTCTTCAGAAGATACTATTAAGAAAATAAAAAGAAAAGCCAAGGCTGAAAAAATAGTTGTAAAACATATACCTGTTCAAAGAGCTGTATCTAGAATAAACAACAAACTCTTCTAAGATAAAGAACCCAGCTAAAAAAAACCAAAAAAACCAGGTAGAATGTTTGAAAAAATACTTCATGAAGAAGATACTTGAATGGCAAATAAGCATGAAAAGATGCTCAAATCATCATTCATTAGTGAAATGCAAATTAAACCACAAGAAGATTCCACTTCCCCCTCATGAGGATGGCTAATATTTAAAAGACTGATAATAGCAAGTGTTAGAGAAGATAGGGGGCAACTGGGGCCCTCATACATTGCTGGGGGGAGCAAAATGGTACAATCACTTTGGGAACCAGTTTGGCAGTTTTTTATAATTTAAAATATACACTTAGCATACAACCCAGAAATTCCATGCTGGTATTTACCTAGGAGAAATAATATTTGTCCACAGAAAGACTTGTACATGAATGTTCATAGTAGCATTATTCAAAGTAACCAAATAATGGAAACCACCAAAATGTTATCTATCAGCTGGTGAATATATAAACAAATGTGGAAATCCATACAATGGAGTAATACTCAGCAATAGAAAGAAAAAACTAACTGATTTGCAAAACAGCATGGATGAATCTCAAAGGTATTATGCTAAATGAAAAAGGCCAGACACAAACGGCTATATGTTATATGATTCCACTTATACGAAATTTTGGAAAAGGCAAAGTATAGTGAGAGAAAGTAGACAGTAGTTCCTTGGGGCTGAGACTGGGGGAAGGGATTGATTCGTAGGGGTCACAAGGGAGCTTTCTGTGGTGATGAAAATGTTCTGTATCTTGCTGTGGTGGTTCATGACTGTGTACATACATTTGTCAGGACTCATTGAGCTGTTCACTTAAAATCAATGATTTTTACAGTGTGTAAATCATACCTTAATAAAGCTGATTAAAAAATAAACTATCAAAATATGAAAAAAGAGCATTTCCTCTCTTGCAAGTAATAGTCAAAAAATAATCTTTCGGTTTTGGTACACAAATCTCTCCCCGCTTTGTAGGACAATCATCTCAACAAACACATACATTGAGAGACCACAATCAAGTTTTTCCTCTGAAAACAATGTTCTCCATGATACTGACCAAGAGTCGTGAGTCCCTCTGAGATGGATGTGAGAACATACAGGAGAACGGGAGGCTCTAAGTTGGTGATGAAGCTCATGTGGTCCTGGGTGAGACATTCCAGGAGTGGATAATAAGACTGGCTCAGTTTCCTATATTGCTGTAACAGAAATACTAAGTGTCAGGCCACAGGGAAGTAAAAGACAGTTAAAGTCCAGTGAAAATTGCTATTTATAATACTGTATATTATAGCCTTACTTAAACATACATGAAATAAACATAAATACATAATCACAGATACATAAAATAAATACATGGAACAAATGACATAATGATTCTCAATTCAGTATTTAAAAGGGTTTTAATAAGAATCTCTTGATCTCTAGAAATCCTAATTTGAAGCTACAGCACAGCATAGTATGTAATTTCAATTTTGCCTTATATGGTTAACACTCAAAATGCAAGTAAAATCTCTGTAGTGTGGAATTTAGAAGACTGAATTATTTTTCTGAACTGGAATATGGTAACACTGAACTGTATTTAATAGTGGTTAGGCAACCTTTTTTTTTTAACACAAAGAAATTTGCTGATTATTATAAGAGGATTTGGCACTGCAGTCTGCCGTATTTATGCAATGTCAACCAATCTAACTAAATCATAACTTGGTAAATAGTTTAGTATTTACCGTACATTATAGGTAAAAGGTAAGTGCATGAGGAAGATACCTGGAAAACCTCAAATGAAACTCAAACCAATATCAAAGAAGTACAATAAAGCAGAGCAGTATTTATTAAAGTGAGATTAAGACTACCTCCGTAAGAATCACATGGGGTGCTTGTTAAAAATGTAGTTTTCTGATCTCCACTCCAGACTCAGAAAACAAAAGCCTCTGCAATGAGTTCTTGAAATGTGCATTTAAAAAATGTACACTAAGGGAGTCCTAAGCACTCTCTATTTTGAGATTACTGAGTTAGAGGTTTGCTTGTCTGTTAGAAGAAGAGAAATTCCTAGAACCCTATCAGGTTTGTTTTGGGTGGACCTCAACTGTAATGAAGAGCTCCCTCAATGAGGTGTCTAAAACACACGGCTGATCGACTCGTTTCTTCTTTGTAATTTCTGTCGTACAGGCAGCCTTCAATGCGCATTCCATTCTATTGCAAAGAGGATTGACAACTTTGGCTTGAGATGTGGTTCTATTAAGACCAGCTTAGAAAGTTGGAAGAGGGTGCCATTAGTCTGTTGGAATGTCAAGGAGCATTTCTCACGGGCTGACTAGTGAAGGCCCCCCAGATCTGACTTGTAACCTTGGGCTGGGAGCGGGTGAGAAAGCCTGAACCAAGCCTGAACATGAATTTGGCTGTGTTACTGAAGTAATTACTGTAACCACATTGGGCACATATTAGCTTTTGTGTAATCAGGCAGAGATGTTTTTAAAAAAGTCTGATAATGACACAGCTCACTGGAGGAGCCTGGAAATTTGAATATCCAACAAGCGGCCCAGGTGATTCTGATGGGCTTCAAAGTCTGAAACCATTGACATAAATCATAGAAACTAGATGGCAGAGTAGAAAAGGGACCTGGAGATCACTTTGTTTAATTTATTCATTTTAAAGGTGAGGAAATTGAAGCCTGGAGAAATAGAGAAGGTGATTTATTCAAGGTAAATGACTGGTGAGTGGCAGAGCAGAGACCGTACACCAGGCTGCTCAACCTTCAGGTTAGCACCCTGTCCACCACACCACAATTCTAATGGAAAGGAAGGCCAAACAGCTTGGGAAGTAGAG